GAAGAGACAACTGAATACCTGGGCAATCACCCAAAGTCTCGTATGCAATGTTGAGTCAACCAACTTTGGCTAAGGCCTGATGTAACTGACATGCCATTTTTCAAAGGCAAGAAACCTTTTAGGACTCTCTCACCCTGTCTTGGCAAGATAAGACAATCCTGCTTTTATCCATTTACGGATATTTTGTAATTCTGTCAGTGGTTGAGGTATGGGCTTTTTCTTTGCCCAAAGGCCAGTTCTGCTAGGAAGAAGACAAGCTCCATGTGGAGTGTCTTTGGTGCTCAACGTTCTCTCGGGAGTAGAGCGGTGATGCCAGGAGCGATTGTGTCTCACAACTATAGAACACAGAGGCTTATGTTAATTATAAACTGTTTGTCCTATTAGCTCAGGCTTATTACTAACTAGCTCTTACAACTTAAATTAACCCATAGTTCTTGTCTAAACAAGTCATGTGACTTGGTACCTTTTCTCAGTGAGGCATTCTCATCTTGCTTCCTCTGTGTTTGACTGGTGACTGTGTCTCTGCCTTTCCTCTTCCCAGAATTCTCCTAGTCTGGTTGCCCCACCTATACTTCCTACCTGACTACTGGTCAATCAGCATTTTATTAAACCAATATGAGTGACAAATCTTTACAGGGTACAAGAGCATTATCCCACAGTAGTCTTCTGACCACCACACAAATGTGGGAGGGGCATGCTAAGTGACTACAATGTCCCCACCTCTACTTTCTCTTGGGCAATTAGGATAGTTGTTTTACTTTTATGAGAGATCCCCACTTCCCCCAAAACAAAAAGGTTAAACAATGTGCCAAACATCACAAAGAAAGCAAGGTGTTCTAGGGTGGTTAGTGCTAAATGTCAAGCTGACAGAATTTAGACTCACCTGGGAGAAGAGATTTCTGCGGGAGATTGTGTTGCGTGCACTAGTTGAAGTAAGAAGGCCCGCCCACTGTGGGCAGGAGCAGTCCATAGCCAGAGTCCTGGACTGTGTAATTGGAGAAATCAGCTGAGCCTGCACTCATTGCTCTCTTCTTCCTGACTGTGGTATAATTTGACCAGCTGCTTCAAGCTCCCACTGGCTTTGCCTCCCTGCCATGATGGGAGGCATCTTGAGCTGTCAGCCAAAATAAACCATTCCTTCTGGTCAGAATATTTTTCTCACAGCAACAGAAAAGTAGCTAAGACAGGCTCAAATTCCAGATCACAAAACCCTCTTTTCTCTGCCTACCTTTCTACTTGCTCCACAGACCCCAGGCAGGTTACTACGGTCACTTCAGGGAAGTGGAATCATGAAGCATCTGTCATTCTGTGTCTGTCTTATTACACATAACACACTGTCTTCCTGGTTTAACCACAGTGGCTGGTCATTTGTGGGTAGAATTTGGGAGACCAGATGAGGAATGAGAGTGAGAGAGAAATGCCTACAAGTGAGGATTTCCCCAAAATCGAGGGCCTGAGTCCGACAGTTGACAGTCCTGCGGAAAGTTGAGTTAATATATCACTCCATGTGATGCCCCACTTCAGGTACATTTTTCCACACCCTCTGACAGCCCCACCGCTTCCCAGAACTTAAAGGGTTGGGAGTCTTTGGTCCTCTCTGAGGTTCAGGTATCTCTCTTGTCCAAAGGGAAAGGGGATCTGGGTACTCATCCTCCTTCCTCCAGAGGAAGGGAAACAGAAAACAGCCAGAGGGCAAAGCTATGAGGGAACACAAGAGTGGTTCAGCACACTGTGGCACATACCAAGGAGCCTGGAGCCATCCCTATGCAAAGGGTAGGAGAGCTCCTCCCAGACTCCAGAAACATCATGGTTCCTGCCGACACCTGAGGCTTGATCTTCTGGCTACAGACTGTGAGACAGGAATTTTTATTTTTTTACTCTTAAGGTATCAAGTTCATGAGCATCTCTTCTGGAAGCTGTGGGATGCCGACATGTTGGCCCATTACATCACCTCACAGAATAAAGCCGAACCTGGCTTGGTCAGCTCCTCCTCCCCACACCTACTGTGCCCTGTCCCCTCTGTCACTTCCGTTGTCGGTGACTGTTTGGCTCTCCTCTCTCCTCTCACCCAGCTCTTGTCCTCTCCCTTTCAGCTTCCCTAGCCAGTCTCTCTTCAACACACCAGGGACTCTCTGGATCCCCTGCCACCATCACCCTGCGGGCCTCTATTATGAATGCTGGATTTATACTTTGCCCTGCACTGTGTGACAGCCAGAACTGCTCATTTGGAGTAAAAGCCAGGAAAAAAAATAAGCAAACAGCTCCGCATGGTGTCATTCCTGAGTCGCAGACACTTTTACCTCGTCCTCCCCCACATCTTCCTTCTCGCCCAGGTCATCATCTCCCCTGATACCCAGTAATTTCAGTCATTTTCTACCCGCATTTCTGTTCGTCTCCTGAGAATTCTCATTTTCTAATGCAGGAAGGTCACTTGGGCTTTCCTGAGCCTGGGTGGCACAAAGGACCTTGTACTTGGAGATGATGGGGTGGTGGGGGTGCGCAGGACCATGGCAGCTCATTTGCTACCCAAGTCCAGCAGCAGGGGAAAGCGGAAGAAACAGCCTGGAAGAAACAATCTAATTACTTCCCTCCCCCACAGCCTCTCTCTTTCTGCAGGGCCTGGGTCATTCCTAGTCTTCCCAGGTCAGGGCTCCTGTCACTGAGCTGGCAAAGAGCCTAGGGAGTAAGAATAAGGTGCCCTGGGCTCAGTCAGGATATACACAAGTTCAAGGACAGCAGGGCATCCTAGTGACACCCTGTCTCAAAATTAAAAAGAGAGGTGGGGGAAGGAATATAGCTCAGAAAAAAAAAAAAAGCTTGCTGACCGTGTGTAAGGCCAGGATTTATTCCTCAGCATGGCAAACAGCAGCACAGAAGCCTACGACCACCTGCACTAGAGCCGGGGCCCTTGGACAGGAGACCAACAGCGTGCTTGTCAGCCCCACAACCACGCACAGGGGCCCTTGGACAGGAGACCAACAGCGTGCTTGTCAGCCCCACAACCACGCAGGGCTCTGCAACACCATGGAAACCTCCCGCCACCCCGCCACTGTGGTGTGTGCCCGAGCACACAAGTCCTTGCAGTGTCGTTTTCTTTACAAAAGAACAACCTCCATGATAACTTTAAAATTAAATAATAGCCAGGCTCATTTCTGAAATCCCCTGTCCTGGCTGTGCGCCCTCTGCCCGGCCTCTCCTCCGGGCCACTGTTGGCACTTTGGGAGATTCTTTCCTGAGCAGGATGTGCTTAGCCAGCAGTTCCATGATTTACCGCTGGAGAACCGGCTCTTTACTCTGTGTGATGAAGCATGACAGCTTGGCGCTTGTTTGTCACCCTCCTTCCCCCCTCCTCGTGGGGGTGACATTTATAAAAATAAGAATGGGCTCGTATTTACTGGGCTGTCGAAGGTAAGGCCAGCACTGGGTACCAGATGTTGGTACTCTCTGACGCGGTTAGCCATCCTTTTATCCTAGATGCTTGTTCCTCACTGGACTCCTAGGACCCTCCTCTAACCTCTCCTGCCCCCCCATCACTCTTTCTTTGCAACTTTTATTGCTGCCTACCCCTCTTCCTGCCTGTGACAGGAAGGACACTGATCTGTCAGCCACGTGTCCATCTGTCCTCCACCTCTTGGTGGCTTTACCTATCTCACGGTTTCAAGTATCTGTGGGTGGCCCCCAGGTTCCTATCTCCGGCCCTTAGTACCCCTCCCCCATGTGTAACTTTCTACCTGATCTCTGTACCTGGCTGCTAAACAGGCATCTTCAGCTCACCTCATCTCCCGCTCAGCTCCTGATGTCTGAAAGCCACCCCTGCAGTCTTTACAGCACCCTCCTCCCCATGGAACTTCTGCCCGTCCACTTACAGCTCTGATGTCAGGGGTCATTTCTGGTTTCTTTTTCTTCTCTTCACAGCATCTAGCCCATCAAGAAACTCACTGGTTCTACTCCCAGACCAGTCCCTCCGTCTGAGCATTTCCCAGAACCCACTACTACAGCATCAGTAGGGGGATCTCTCTGGCTCCATCACTCTTCTCATGCAACTCAGGTCCCAGCCAGAGGCCAACCAAAGCCTTCTGAAACGTAAGGCACTTCACTCTTTTCTCATCATGGGGTGGCCCAGGCTAGTCTCCAACCCTTATGTTCACATGAGCATCCTGCCTCAGCCTTCCAAGCAGCTAGGGTTCTAGGAGTGTTACAGCATGCACGACCTCTGCACCTCTCTGAAAGACTCTGCTTCCCTTTGCTTGGGCTGTTGCAACAAAGCACCATGTACGAGGCAGCTTGTGGAACATCTATTTACTGCCGTGTTTCCGGAAGTTGGAAGCTCGAGATCATCTAAGGCCAAGATCCAAGACCGACACCTTCTGGAGGTCAGCAGGGCTGGTTCTTTTCGAGGTCTGGGAGGGAAGGAGCTGTTGGAGGTCTCACTCCTCGCCTTCTGGGCGGCTATCTTCTTTATGCTTCTTCACTCTGTTTTCTTTCTGTGTGTTGCATCCAGACTTCCCCTCCTTATACAGACACCAATGTATCTGGGTTATTATATAGACACCCCCAATCGATGACTCACTTAGTTATCTTTATAAAGCTCTCATCTTCAAGTAAGTTGCTGCTAGCCTGCTTCCCATGTTGTCAAAAGGATCTGAGATAATCAACTTATAAAGTCAGGGTTATTTGGCTCCATTTTGAAGGTTTGTCCTTAGACCTTTTAGGCATCCAGTGTGGGCACATCATGGTGATGCCAGAGAGCATGTGGTGGAGCCTAACTGCACCCTCATTGCCACCCAGGACACCAAAGAGAAGAAATGAAAGGGGTCAGAGTCTCCATATCCCCACCAAGGGTATTTTCCAGATTAACCTTACTTCCTCCCAAGAGGACCCATTCCTTAAAAGTTCTACAGTACTACAAGGCTGCGGTCAAGCCTTTAACCATGCTAGGACTCAGGAATAGCACTCCTGGGTACAGACTGAAAGGAATCCAAGTCAGCATACCACAAAGACACAGAACATCTTTGTTTATTGCTGTACTATTCGCAATAGACAAGACATGAAACCAGTCTAACAAACCAACAAGAGATGAATGGATAAAGAAGATGTGATACACCACACACACATGCACGCTCATGCGCGCACTGAAATTTTAGTTAGCTCTAAAGAAGAAATATGTCACTACAAGAAAATGGATGGAAATAGCGATCACTGTGTTAAAGGAAACAAGCCTTACTCAAAAAGACAATTTTCTCTCATTGTCAGAATCTACATTTAAAAGGACATGAAAGTAGAAGGGAAACGTTCGAAAAGAAGAGAATATGACCACAGCAGACGACAGATGTGTGGAAATGTCATAATAAACCTATTAGTTTATACAGCTAATATACATTAACTCAAAAATATATTACAATATGGTTGAGGAAGTGGCTCAGTCTAAATTACTTTCTAGAAAAACATGAGGGCCCAAGATGAATCCCTAACCCACAAAAAAAAAAAAAAAGAAAAGAAAAGAAAAAAGAAAAAAAGCCAGATGTTGTCGCCCATGCTTAAATCCCAGCACTGGAGAACAAAGATGGGCAGATTCCTTGGACTTGGCAGCCATCTAGCCTAGTCTCTTCAGTGAGCTCCAGCGAGAGGTCCTGTCTCAAAAAACTAGGTGAAGAGGCCAGAGAGAACGCTCCATAGTTAAGAACACCTATGGTTCTCTTAGAGGACCTGAGTTCAGTTTCCAACACCCACATCTTCCAGTTCACAGCTTCCTGTCACTCCAGCTCCGGGGATCTGGATCCTTCTGCCGGCCTGTGTGTGTGCCACCTGCAGACATACAGAAAGAACACAACGTGAACTTTTTCTGACTGAAGTCCAGCAAAATCCATACCTTTAAAATGTTCCCACTATCAGGTGGTTTTGGACTGCTTGAAACTAGGCTCTTTTGAGCATCTCACAACATGGATGAACCTTGACAGCTTCAACCTAAACAAAAGCAACCAGGCACAAAGGCCACATGTTCTGTGATTCCATTTATAGGAAATGTCCAGAGCAGGCAAACCCACAGAGAGACAGCAGACATGCGGGTGGTTGTCCAGGGATGTTGGGGGGGAGCAGTTGATGGAGCAGAGCTACCACCGAGTTTGGAGTTTTTCTGTAGGAGGATGGAAATAGTAAATGGATAGATGGGCATGACAGCTCCCCAACTTCAGCTACACTAAAAGTCACTGAGCTCCACATTTGAAAGGCTAAATCTTGTAATATGGAAAGCATTTTAATGGATAAGTATTAGAAGTTTAATTGTGTACTGTAATGTGTAATTCCCTCATAACACCACCTTCTGTGGCCTCACCTTTAGGTACTCTGAAGCAAATTAAGTACAAAGAATGACTTTGTTATTTGGGAAAATATGGAAGATTAGTCAGACACGGCAAGGAGCAGAGTAGAATCAAGAATTAAGAAAGTCGGGCTGGAGAAATGGCTCAGCGGTTAAGAGCATTGCCTGCTCTTCCAAAGGTCCTGAGTTCAATTCCAGGCAACCACATGGTGGCTCACCACCATCTGTAATGAGGTCTGGTGCCCTCCCCCTTCTGGCCTGCACACATACGTGCAGACAGAATATTGTATACATAATAAACAAACAAACAAATAAATAAGTCAAAAGAATTAAGAAAGTCAACCGTCACAATGGCATAGGCCTTCTAATAATAATAATAATGTATATTTATTATACATAATAAACAAACAAGCAAACAAATAAATAAATAAGTCAAAAGAATTAAGAAAGTCAACCGTCACAATGGCATAGGCCTTCTAATCCCAGTACCAGGGAGGCAAAGGGCAGATAGATCTCTGCAAATGTGAGTCCAGTGCAGTCTACAAAGCAATTTCAAGGCCAGCCAGTATTGTGTAATGAGACCCTGCCTCAACAAACAAAAACAAAAAGGAACAAAGGAAGTGAAAATCAGATCAAGGAGAGGAACCCCATGCTTCCACGAAGCTCCCTAGGGTTGGGGGTGAGGAGGTGAGGAGATGGCTGGGTTCCCTCTCTGAGAGGCATGAGAACTGCGGAAGATCTGTGTTCATTTCCGCTCAGCACCCACTGAGCCATTCGTCTCTGTCTCACTCTGGGGCACTCCTGTGCAGGGCCAACTCGGCCTAAGCTCCTTGCTCCTTTGGTCCAACATGTACTTAGCCCTTCAAACAACAATACAATCCAAGAACACTAATCCAGGGCTAGGGGCAGAAACATTGTTTTCATGGTGGATCTCTGCAAAGGGAAATTAAGAGTTGATTTCAGCCACCTGAATTTATCTAAAGTGTGTGTGTGTGTGTGTCTGTGTGTGTGTCTGTGTGTGTATTTGAGTTTTTGAGACAGATTTTTACTATGTACCCTAGACTGGCTTCAGACTTGGGAATCCTATAACTTCAGCCACCACGTTCTAGAATTACAGGTATGTAATGCTAGAGTAAATGCTCGGAGTAAAGCCCAAGGCTCATGAATGCTAGGCAAGCGTTCTTCCACTAAGGTACGCTCCCAGACTGCTGATAACATGAGGGAAGAACTTAGACAACCCCAAGTAATAGAGCAAGAGCTGGATGGTGATGCCCTCTGACCCTGGCTCAGACTGCTGCATGGAAACAGTGTCACTGTTCAGTCACACAGAAGCCCATTCTCAGGATGAGCCTCTTCCTATGCCTCTGACTTAGAGTAACAAAGATTACACTTGTAGTTCATAAAGCGCGAAAGTACAAAGACTGCAAAATACAGCATGTCATAAAAATACATGAGACTTTCTGAAAATACGCTAAAAATATATCTGCATCAATAAAATATGCAGCTTTTCAAAACTAAAGAAAAATGTAGGCGCTGGAGAGACGGTTCTATGGTTGAGAGCACTTGTTGCTCTTCCAGGGGACGAGGGTTTGTTCAGGTGACTCACAACCACCTGAAACTCCAGCTTTATGGGCTCCGACACCCTTTTCTGGCACTGGATACAGGTGGTACACACATAAACAACATACATTTGCATACAATAAATAAATACATCTTTAAAAAAATGCAATTGATGGTGGGCGGTGGTGGCCTATGTCTTTAATCCTGGCAGGAGGCAGAGGCAGGCAGATCTCTGTGAGTTCGAGGCCAGTCTGGCCTACAAGAGCTAGTTCCAGGACAGGCTCCAAAGCTACAGAGAAACCCTGTCTCAAAAGACCAAAAAAGGAAAAAAATGTAATTGACAAGATTAGTTCTGAATTCTACCTTCTCTAAATATTTTGGAAGTGGAACTCTGTGCTTGACAAACTCATGTTTGACTTAGATTAACCTCATTCCTGCCAACACATCCCTCTCTGTAGTTTTTGTACTTTTGGGTGGAGAGAGGTCTAGTTGAATGACAGGTGGGGTGGGTGGGGTTCCAATCTCCTTCAGCCCATAACACTCATGCTGTGGTCATCAGACTCCATCCCAGTTAGGAAGTTAGCTCAAAAGGCTTCTCACCTCACAAGTAGGCAGGTATTTTCACGTGTATTGTGGAGATGACAGTGGTAGCTAGGCATGCACCTTTCGTCTTGGGTACCCTAGAGACACCCAAAGCCAGATGCTTTAGACACAGACACAACCAAACAACAAGCAAAAATGTACCAGGCAAAAGTAAGTAAGAAAAACACTGAGTTCTGGTTAGGTCTGGGCCAAATGTCCCATGTAATATAATCCAGACCTTCTGAAATATTGAACATTAACAGCAGTACTCCTTTTAAAGTGAGTGGTAGAATGAAATATGGCACAAGGAATATGCAAGGCTGGGGTGCAGCTCAGTGATAGCTCACTGGTCTACACATGGGAGACCCCAAATACCGCCCGCAGCGTGGCAGAAACATACACCAAAGCTGTGCAGACACCGGCAGGGCTGAGACACTTGTGCATTTGTGGGCTGAATATATAGAATCTGATGCCCGGACATTTTTCCTGTGGCAAAGAAAGAAGCTCCCCAGCTGGGCGATGATGACACACGCCTTTAATCCCAGCTCTCGAGAGGCAGGCAGATCTCTGTGAGTTCAAGGCCAGCCCAATCTACAAAGTGAGTTCCAGGGTAGTCAGGCTGTCACACAGAGAAACCCTGTCAAAAAAAAAAAAAAAAAAAGGAGGAGAGGAGAAGAGGAGAAGACAGAGGAGGAGAAAGAAATCAGTAAGCCCCCCAGTTTCTTGTTATTACTTTCTGGAAAAGAAATCTGGGGTCAGCTACCTAAGGATTACACTCAAATTTGTATTCGCTATCATTACAACCATCAGAATTACAACCATCAGAAGCAAGACACTATTTTCCTGAAACATGGCCATGCCTTGACAAAGGTTCACACTTTTTTCTGTTTACTGATCATAAATACCTATTATAATAAATTTTAAAACTACTCATGATTTCTTTTCCTGTTGCCAGTAATTCTTGCAATCTGGAGTTCTCGAAGCCCCAGTAATAGCCAGAGGCATGAGCTGGTCTCTGTCTACAATGTCTTTGCCCTGGGCTGCAGGTGCCTGAGGCATCTTCCAGAGTTTTCGTTGGTTGCTAAAGGCTTTTCTCACTGCTCTCCAGAAGGCTCTGCAGGGGTGAACTTCATAGACCTTCAGGGATCCTCACCACCTCACATAGACAGTTCTGAGCCCCTCTCTCCCTCTCCCTCCTTCTATATCTACCATTCATGAGGTGGGTGCAGCTAGGGTAGAGCACATGCTTCCCATGCAGGAGGCCCCAGGTTTAATCCCTAACAGTTCTCAAAGTAAGCATTACTGAGAGTCAGGGAGGTGGTGTACACCGTTAATCTCAGTACTCAGGAGGCAGGGGCAGAGAGATCTCTGTGCGTTTGAGGACAGCCTGGTCTACAGAGCAAGTTCCAGGACAGCCGGGGCTACACAGAGGCTAACCCTATCTCAAGAGACAAAAACAACAACAAACAGCATTACTGGCGTCCTCCTGTAAGACGCTGCCCTGCAGTCCATTCTAAACTCCCTTCATCTTTTTCTCTCCTCACTTTGGGGTCTTTCAGTTGTCAGTATAATGACAGTATGGAGGAGACAGGACAGTCAGAGCAGGACCCTTTCATAGCTAAACTTATTTAAACCTTGGTAATTCTCAGGGACCAGGACTGTGACTTTGGTTTGAGTAGTTGTGCCCAGCCTGGTGATGCTCATTCCCCACTTAGGGCAGATCTAAAACTAAGACAGGGATTGGGTGTATCTTACTGGTCTATCACATGCTTTGCGTTCATGGAGCCCTGGGTTCTGTCGCCAACGCGGGGGGCAAACCAACCAGGTGGTTGTACTTTAGTGTCTCTATCACTACCACATAAGCCAGACACAGTGGTAGTCTTCGTAAGAACTGTCCATCCCTGACTATCTTTAGTAGTGTTTCAATATCAGTGGAAAAAATAAAGAAAAATATTTCTTTACAAGGTTTAAAGGCTTTTATACTGCTATTTCTGAATGTCATAGAAAATCTTTGCTGGCTTTGAAAGTATTAACCTCAAGAAGAGAGGTAGGGAAAAAGCCACCTTGGCAGACCACCAACAACCGAAGAGCCGGGGTTTCATTACACAGCTCTTCCCGGGCATTTAGGTGATAAACATTTCTACAAGACCGGCTCTTCTGCCACTTTCACGGCATTAATCTCCATGTATATAGTTCGAGACAAAGAGAGATTTTAGCCAGATACTCAAGGTGACTGAAAGCCTCAGGAAAATATAAATAAAGGTTTTTAAATTTATGGTACAAAATAGAAACAAGAAACACGGGCACTTTCCCCTTGCCAGGGAGGATTTATGACTTTGAACTCTGCATCTGTCTGAGGAAGCCTCGGCCAGCTTCCTAAGGCGCTGTGCCCCCCACAGCTGCTGACTCTACTAAAATAGCCCCACCACTGCTACTTAATTCAGAACTCCTGCAAGACTGAAAACCTCAGTGTTCCTTAAAGGGGACTGGGCAAATAAAACATGCTACAACCATGCCACAGAACACTACGCAGGACAGCTCTTCGTGAAAGTTCCACTGGCCCTTATAGCACAGCTCATGTGCCAGTTCCCTTGGCTTAGGCACCTGTTCTGGTCTGAACACAGAGAGCACCACCTCTGCCCCAAGCCCATGTTTCACAAGAACTGGTTCCCAGCTAATGGTACTGCTTTGGGGGGCTGTAGGATCTTTACATGGCATCCCTGGTGGAGAGGTGTCTAGCCCCCAGCTGCTACTTGAAGGGCATTAGCATGCACTTCATCTGCACTGATCAGCTCTGTCCTGCCTTCTCACCATGATGGGCGGGATGTTCCGAAACCAGGAGCCCAAACAGGCCTTCCTCCCTTGTTTCTGCCAGGCATTTATCCCAGCAATGCGGAGAATTACTAGCACACCGCCCCACAGCATTTTGCCATCACTCACCCTGATACTGGTCACAGCTGTGGTGCTGGCACATTGGGACTTCTCTGTCCCTCAGCAGACAGCAGGCCTGGGGAGGGAGGGAAGCACGGTAGATTAGTCCCTGATCCACTCCACAGTTTGGTGCACCATGTTCAGGGAAGGAGCCTACCAGGGGGCAAATAAATACACGAGATTACTGAGAGATTGGAGGAGGCACACAGGTCGCAGTTAGCAAAGGGATGAGGTGGAGAAAAATGAACCTATCTTGTAGGTCCCCAGCTGACTCCATAGCTCGTGCACACCCTCGAGTGTCTCCAAAGAACTGCTTCCCAAGTGGTCAGCTACTCTGGAAGACTCGGGGACACTTCTTCCACCATTGCTCACATGAACCGTTAGAACTGAGGTGATAGATCATATCTCTCTTTCGCCAGTTCGAAGAAATAAAAACAGGTCTTTTCACAGGACAAGCAGACAGGGACCATTCAAACACCACCAATGTTCATGAGGGAGACATCCCCACATCTGACATGAATAATGGCAGAAAGAGACAGCTGGTCAACCACTCAGCTGTAGGCAATGATTTCCCACGTAGTCACATGGGAAAGGCTCAGGGACAACCCAGGAAGATAGCTTAGCTTTACAACAGAATTCAGAAGCATGAGGGACGTGGGGCAGAGACTACGTGGTGGTGAGAAAGCGTGCTCTGTTTGCACACTGCCCCCTCTCCACGGTCAATGAAAACTAAATGTCAACCGTGCAGAACTCACCTCACTTCTGGGATGACGGTAAAACACCCTGAGTGATATCATGGGCTGCCTATGGTTGCCCTGCCAACGGCGACAAACAGCACACTTGGACCCTGGTGTCAGGTAGAACTATCTGAGCTGGGATCTGCATTTCATCACCTCCTGGTCCCCTCCCTTAGTCTTGTGGGTGTCAGTTTTCATCTGTAAAGCTGGGGATCATAACAGTGACTAATTATAAGGATTTGTGGGGATTGAATGAGATAACGTGAGTGAAAAGCCCAGTACGCTGCTTGGCACATAACGAATGCTTGATGACTGTTAGATGTTATTACTATCACACGATTTCCAGTGTTTTCTGGAAAACAATTTTCCTGTCTGAATGCACTAATCTCCATTTTCTGCAGACAACTCTCAGTGCTGGACTGACATGATCCTCCTCCTCCTGCTGTGTTCTCCTTTCCCACGGCGCTGAGTAACATCTCCTGCGTCTTTCTCACCTGGTCCAACATCCCCAGAAATATCAAAACACTGGAACTGCCTTTCTTAAGAAGTTTGATCCTCCACTGTTTGTGTGTATCGTGTGAAAACAAAGTCAAAATTTTATATTTGTCCAACTGAATTCTAAGTGTAGAAGTTCATGGAGGTTTTACTCCATTAGACAGGGGCCAGGCAGTGAAAGAAAGAGAGCTCACTTTCAAAGGAATGCTCCATGAAGCAAGTGGCCATACTGCCAGATATACCAACCATAAACAGGCACAGGCCGTGGTGGCGCACACCTTCCATCCCCAGCGCTCAGCAGGCAGAAGCAAGTGAATCTCTGTGAGTTCGAAGCCATCCTGGTCTACAAAGCCAATTTCCAGGATAGCCAAGGCTATTACACAAAGAATTCCTGTCTCGAAAAGCAAACCAAAACAAAAGGCATAAGTATAAAAAGTAATGCCACCCAGTGTGGATACCCAGAGTCTGTGCCACCACCTAAGGCCATGTCGGTGTCAAAGGGCCACACTGTCACTGGGGCCATACTCATCTGAGTGGTCTGCACAGTCACTCAGGGCCACAGGGATGTCCAGGCCCAAGCTGCGACAGAGGGCCCTGTCTGGGTTCATGATTCTACCATAGCTGGGGTCTGTGTTGATATCTGTGACCCTGTATTACCACTGGGGGCCATAGGAGAATTCTGGAGAACTGACCCTGCCCTTCTCTGGCTGCCTCAGTTGCCCATCCCCTGCCAAGGACTGGCCCAAGTGGTGTGGGCACAGGAGAGCTGGTCTCCCGAACAGATGGCCACTATAGCAGGAGAGCTGGCCCCACCCCTCACTGTGTATGGACAGAGCTGGCCTCAATGGTGAGGTATGAGACAAACAGCCCTGATTCTTGCCTGAGGGGTGCATTCCCGGAGGAGGCCAGAACTAACCAACTCAGCAACCCAGGCCCACATTCAGGACTTTGAGTTGGCCCACCCCAACATCTACCCTATCTATGACCTGCTGGAGTGTGTGAAGGAACTGGTCCTGCAGAACCATAGTGGCAGGATATCCGAGAGAAATTTCAGGGAGAGTCCAGTATTGATAGTGTACTAGAAGTCAGAGGCATTGAGGCAGACAACTCATTGCAATGAACATTTGCAAGTAAAGCTGTTTGAACAAAAGGGTCTACTGTGTGGCACCCACAGCTCCCAAGGCCACTACACCAAAAGAACATATGATGGAGAGGTGGGAAAGACAGAAGAGTGAAATGGTTTCCTCTCTTTTTTTTTCTTCTTGGGTTGGGGGTTAGATTACGAGGGTGGAGGACAGACATGGAAGGACTGGGAAATGAGTGTGACTGGGGTACGTGACGTGAAAGTCCCAAAGAATCAGTTAAAAAATTACTTAAAAATAGAATTCCCTCTATGTAAGACAAAGGGGAGATGCCTACTGGATTCAGAAGCAGGGAGAACAGGCCATTGCTGGGGTGTTGAGATGCATTAATAATAAGAAGAATCGTAGGCTATGGAGCCAGACCTGAGTGTCAAGACATGGCCTTGCCACTAGTTAACTTTGTGCCCCTCTCAGACTTAACTTTCAGTCACCTCTCAGAGCCTGTGTCCTGCCTGTAATGTAGAGACAACGATGTGAGTCAACTCATGTGCTAGTATAAGGGTTACATCACACTACTCCAGCATGTCTACCCGAACACTGCTATGCTCCCCCCGCCATGGTGCTAATGGACTGAACCTCTGAAACTGTGTGAGCCACCCCAGTCAAATGTGTTCTTTATAGGAGTTGCCTTGGTCATGGTGTCTCTTCACAGCAATAAAAACTCTTGGTGTTTCAGGTGTCTTAGGTCAGTGACGGTGCTCATCCTTGACCCACCACTGCCTGGTACATGCGGGACAAGGAGGCCTAGACACTGATCACATGCCTTTCCTGGGCATTCAATTGCAACTGTTTGAAAATACTTCTACTCCATATATCAGATTAATTATACTGCTAGCCAATGATACACAATTGCAGTCCTAGCCCTTGGGGAAGCTGATCTAGTGAAATTGTCTCAAAATAAGAAAACAAATAAAAAGACTGTATTTGTTTGAATGAGAAAGGCCCCCACAGGCTCATACATTTGAGTACTTGTTCCTGAGTTAGTGGGTAGGATTAGGGGATGTGGCTTTGTTGTAGGATGGTAACTTGGGGGAAGGCATTGAGGTTTCAAAAGACTCATGCTATTTCCATTGTTCTCTTTCTGCCTCATGCTGTGGATCAGGCTGTGAGCTCTCAGCTATAAATGTCTAACCCCCCATAAGGCAGAGGAAATGCTTTTATATAAGCTGCCTTGGGCAGGGTGTTCTACCACAGAAGCAGAAAAGTAATGAGGACCAAGACCAAAAAGAAATCTCCTGACTTGCTCTGGTTATGTAGGAATCAAACTCAGGTTTCTGTCTGGTTTACAAGCCCAAATTCAGCATTAACCAATGACAAGTTTTTAACATATGTAGAAGGACACAGAAATTACAGATTAGCACATCTAATTTGTGTGGACACTTTGTTTGTTTATGTTCAGTTTGGGGTTTTAGTATTTGGAGACAGGGTTTCTCTGTGTAGCCCTGGCTCTCCTGTTACTCATTCTGTAGACCAGACTGGCCTGAAACTCAAATTTACCTACTTCTGCTTCATGAGTGCTGGGATTAAAGGCATGCACCATCATGCCCAGCTGAGCAGTTTGCCTGGTTGTTTTTGGGGTTTGGGGGTTTTTTTTTTGGTTTTTCAAGACATGGTTTGTCTGTGTAGCCCTGGTAATCCTGGAACTCACTTTGTAGACCAGGCTGACCTTGAACTCACAGAGATCCACCTTGCCTCTGCTTTCTGAATGCTGGAACTAAAGGCATTTGTCACTACCACCCAGCTGATCAGTTTTATTTTTAAATACACATTCTAACATGCAAGTAAAATATATAATATCAAAATATTATGCAGTATAGGTATGTTACATATAATTAAAATACATGCAATATCAGAATATATATTTATTGGTTTATTATTTAAAACTTGCTTAGGGAAAAATCATTCTGAATTATAAACTCTTGGTGTACTATGTCTTGCCAGGTTATCCTAAATCCTTGTTTTCTTATATCCCCATGGGGTTTGAAACCTGTTTCATAAATTTTCAAGCATTTCACAAAATCAAATGCAAACACTCGGTTTCCACACATTAAGAATACAGAGGTGCTGTGACAAAAATAGCCATGTAACTGTTAATTCAAACACTGTGATTCACAGCACAGCGAGTTAAGGAGGTTAGCAAGAGTGGCTTTAGTAGCATATGACCAAATGGGAATTTATAAGGGACACTGATACTGTCAATGTCAATGTACAAAGACAATGTCACCATACAACTGTCAAGCTAAAATGCATATTTTAAAAGAAATCAAGAAACATTTACTCTTTATTTTAAATTAAAAATTGGGTGTGGTAGCTCAGAAGCCAGCCTGTCTACATAGAGAGATCCAGGTCATTCAGAGGTACATAGTGAGGTCTTATCTCAATCAAACAAAATCTAATAGTTGAGACCAGGAAATTATTTTTACTTGAGTTTCATTGGGCATGATAAGCTCTTCTTAAAATTATCAATGAAGCTCCTAATAAAATGTCTTCCATGCCAACTGGCATGCCCAATCCATGGCTCGCTAGCTACAAATGCATTTGTAGATCACAACATCATGTCTTGATGTCAAAAGGTTGGACACCTCTGTTATGGAAAGCATAGGTGGCAGCGGATGGAGACTTTGTGTTCATTAGCTCAAGCTTGCCACACCTGGGGCTGAATACTGACAAAGAAATGGTCCAGACACACTGAGCCTCTAGAAGAACAACAATTGAAATTAATCAAAGAAGTTGATTTAGTAAAGAAAAGACTAGAACAAAAATAAAACTGACTTTGAGTTGATCAAACCCCAAGATATAGAAGTTGGTCAATATAAATGCAGGAAATAGTAGGTATTTTAATACCACAAAAGTGCAACCAAACAATTTCCAAAATGCAAAATTCTTCTGGATCAAAGACTAGGAGAAAAACCGTTCGATACAGGAGAGGACATGTCCTGGAGTGAAGACACACAAACGCAATGGCAACCGTGTTTGGATCTAACTGGACTAAAGCAGCAGGAAGAGCACCCTGGGAAGACGGTGGTGGGCCCCGGAACAATGTGTACAGAGACATTGGAGATTTCTCTTGAGTCTGACAGCTTCTAGTCTACTAGGGAAAGGGAAGGAGCTCCTTACATAGCCAAGACATATCTAAGTTCTTACAGACAAAATGATGTAATGTCTAGAATTTGTTTCAAAATAACCTGTAAGGTGAGGCTGAAGGTGAAGAGAGACAAGATGAAGGGCACTTAGCCACGGATTAACAGCTGATGGAGGCATTTGGGTTCTATTATCCTTTCTGGATTGAAGTTTAGCAAAAAGCCTGGTTTTCATCATCTAAACTGGTGCTCACTGCCCTACAAAGGTAATTTCCCTCGTAACTTAAGTGTGTTTGTGCTCCATCCATAGCTACCTGCGACCCCCACCTTACCCATTGGGGAAGCATCCATTTGTCCAGAAAAGGAACTTTGGGTCAACCGGTCACTGTCCGGCGTGCGTTCAGTCTGCATACTCCTCTACTGTTTTTACTTTGCACTGGGTGCGCCATCCCTCCAAGGGCCCACACTTACAGAATCTGGAGCAAGAATTTGCCTTCCTCTACAAGTATCTTGTTTTAACTTGAAGCTTAAATATCCCCTAGGGAGTTGTGGGCTATTAAAAACTCGGTTCCTGCTGAGGGGCAATGGAGCCTTCCTGAAGCAGAAGCCAATGCGACGACTTTAAGGCACTGGAGTCTTGCCTTTGAATGGGATTGTGGGATGCACTCAGCCTTCGCTTCGGCTTTCCATCAGTCATGATCTGCGCATGCTCCTACTATGACTGATGCACCACAGGCCCCAGAGCAAGGGCATCAGCCAGTCATGGTCTGAACCCTCCAGATCTATAAGCCAAAGTAAATTTTTTTCATTATAAGCTGATTTGTCTCAAATTTTAATTATTGTGATGGAAGCTAACATACTTTCTAAGAAGCTTCTTAGCAGATACTCCTTGCCCTCTCCTCAAAGGGCAATTCAAAGTCCAGCAGATTCAGACTCCTACCCTGGCTCCTAACTGTAGAGCGCTTATGATCCTCTCTGTAGCACAGGAGACTTAAAGCCAACAAGCCTTGCTGTCTACTGCCAGCCTGCTTTTCCCTTATGGGAAGACTAAACTGGCTGGTCAGCCATGCGTCATGTTTACCTTTCCTACTTTCTGTGTGGCTGTTTACTGGAACTGGGAC